AGGAGGAAAAAAAAATAATCTAAGAAAACTTAAGCAGTGTGAAGAAAGATGCAACTAGACTGTCTGGAACAAAGGTCTGCTGCTTCAAAACTGTACGCTCAAGACCGACTAATCTCATTGTCCTCTCTGGGAAAACAGTAAAACCTAAATCCTAGAGCACATAGTAAATTTAATCCAATATCAGACTTAAAGCAGTGGAGAAACATTACTACATACAAAATGTTTTAGAAATTAGCTTTGATTTATTAATTTCTTGATGAACTTTACAGTTGTGTTCATTAACATACCAAAATGGCTGTACTTCTACCTTTAACTCTTGCTCCAGTGCACACGGATTTGATTCCACACAGCTTGTTTTCGTGACTTGTCTTTTTTGGTTGGGCTCACTGCACTAAGTAGAGCAGAAGGTAGACTGGGGGAGAACAAGGCTGCTGTGTATTTGTCTGGTCAAAAATAAAATACAGCATGTATATACCACTGAACTATGTGACGTATTGAGATCTTTCATCAGAATTCACCACTTTGTACTCTTCCAAGGGGCACTTAATCTGCTGTTGTGTAGCTCACTTCGCTAGCATATATAAAAGCTTTCCATCATTCTAATGTTGCTGTTGCTTCTAAACCAATGTAAGCAACAAAATCACTGGTTTACTATTGACTTATACTTAAGATAATAAAAAGAAATGAAATAACATCCAAAAAAAGCTTTTAAAAATAAAAAGTGCTGTTGAAACTGTGGAATTCAGTATTTCTGTATGCTCAGCTTAGAAATTTTAGGATTTTCAAGTGTGTAATATACTGATAGTGCTTTATATATATTAAAAGATTAAGTTCATTTTGGTTGGAGATATGAACACTTGCCATTTCTGCATATCTGGCTTTTGATTTCTGACAGAGAACACAGAAATGCATGAATAAGGCCTAGCTATGGAGAATCTTCATCTAATTTTCCCAGCACCTTGTAATAGCAGAAGAAAGAAAACAATTGAGCTCTGTGCTGGCATTCCTAACAAAATGTCTAGTCTGCAGGAACATAGGAATTAGTAAGTAAACTCTTACACTGTTACCTCAGGACGTTAAATACTTATTCTTGGACATCCATCCTAAACTTACCCTGACTGCTCTGTATTGCCCTATTTTGTAAAGTAATCATTGCCCCTTGGTTAAGGGGGCAATGAAAGGGCTTCTTGCTCTTTCTGGTATTTTCCCCGTTAATATGTTACATGGTATTACCAGCTTTAGGTAGGCCTTTAGGTTTTTGTATAGGTACCTTCTCTGCTGAAAAGTAGTTCTTCATTATAACTGAAGTAACACAAAAAAACTTTAAAAAATTCTGGAGACCAGAGCTTCAGCCTAATTTCATGTTTCCTGGATGTCAAGACATATTTTTCCTTTTGGGAAATGCTGTCTATTTCTTGTTTGGGATTAGGTGCCAAGACCTTTAAAATGCAAGCTTTAATTATTTTGTTACTTTCTGTAAACATTATTCTGCTGTTGTTGGTTTTGGTGGTGAAATTCCAAATAACTTTATCTTTTAAGCCACCTTTATCTTTCCGAACTAATTTTAAAAAAAGAAAATAAAGAAAACTGCTTAGGGAAACACAGTGTTCTTTTACAGGAAGCAGATGCTGGACTGATTTTTATCAAGTCCATAATTATCTAAACTGTTATAGAAAGTAATTAGAGGGCCGTATCAGGTTCTTGCTGCTGTAGCAAGCTTAACTGATCTCTAATCCTAGGATCTTTCTTGACTTTTTTAAAAGTAACTATTCTTAATCTTATAGTATTCCTTGGGAGGGAGAGGGCACTTTCTACGTACGCGTGCAGAGATGACTGCAAGATATTTTAGCAACACTTTGGAACTCACTGAGAATCTTTTTGGAATGTGAATTTGATTGACAGAGGAGATTAAAGCTTCTTTTGAGTCATTCCACTAAGGGATAAAGATTGGCAGCTGAGGCATTTGTGCACACCCAAGTAAGAAGAAACTTTGACCATTCATGATCAGGGTTGGACATGTCATGGAAGAGTGCAGCAGGATTTGGTTGTGAGGAGTTATCAGGGCCCTCCAACAGCCAAAAGATCTGACACATCTGGGTAAAGAGCTGTTACCTCAGCAAATATGCAAGGGGGAACATGAAGCAATTCAATACTAAGAAATTTATCTCATGAGATATGGAGTATTTAGTGGGTGGTGGTTGGTGGTTTTTTGGTTTTTTTTTTTTTTAATAATTTTGTTTACTTCCTCTTTTTTAAAAAATTCTGTGTAATTAGTACAAAGCTATTTTGTAGTGATCTGTTGACCTCCTTTAATCACTAACATATTTTGGTGGGAACAGTACAATTCCTACATGGCTTTGTCACTTGCACTTCCACATCCATGCAAACAGTGTACTCTGCTGAAATCCTGGAGGCAAAGACAAAGTTTTTAATTAAAAATATTGCAACCGACAAGTCAGTCTTTAGTAGTTGTGACTGTTTTCCTCCAACTTTGATAATGTGAGGAATACCTAGTAGCATAGAGTAAGTCAAAATATGGATGTTAAAAATAACTTACAGTCCTCTGAGTTGTTCTTGATTATCCTACTTTGAGTCTCTTTTGGGACTGCCCAGCGGCATTTCAAATGAAATTGTAAATGTGGCCTGCATCCAATAAATTACTGTACTGGCTAGAGGAGAGAGGAAAAAAGAAATAAAAATTTCCATCTTGTAAATATTTTGAGGCCCCAAGGTAGCTTTCTTCTTGCAGTGAGAGGCTGATACTCCTTAGTTGTCCCAAAGTAGTTCATTGGCAGTCCTGTAGAAGGGTCACAAGTTTTCATTCTTATTCTTCATCTCATGTTTTTGGTTCAGTTTCTCCTCTTCTGCTGAAGAAAAATGGCATATATAATGTCTTGCGGGAAGAGAGAATTGAACCAAATAAGCGTGTAGTCTTTGTTCTGTAATAAACAGACCTAAATTCCAGTAAAACAGTTTTGTTTCCCACCCAGAAGTCATAACTAAAAAAAAGTTCCCATCTGACATCAAGCATGCTAAGCAATCCAAATGCAGCTTGATGTTCTTCTCCCTGGTCATTGCATTTGGCTCCGGGCAATTCCACAGCATGGGAATGTCTAGTGTCAGGTCTAGTGCCTTTGTTGTTGCCAGGCTCTGAAGGAGCTCAGAGTAGATAATGGTTTTGGAGAAAATAGTCCCATCTGGGAAGATGCAATTCAGGGAGTTTTGAGAAGGCACAGGTGTGGGCAGGGTGCTGTTAGCCGGGAGGCTGGCTGATGGTGACCTTCAGGTTTTACGAGGCAGGAAAGACAGCTGAGATAAATTAGCCATTCAGAGGATGGACACAGGAGGAATCCCACCTGCTCTTTTCCTGGGTGAGAAGTTGGATGTGAGAGCAGTTTGTTTGTGAGAGTCTGATGTCTAAATTCAGACAAAAGTCATGCTGGTTCTTCCAGTATTTGACTGCTGCTGTGTAAGATACAGGGATGTCATTCTTTCTCACCAGACATCGTTTATTTTAAATGCTAAACTGTTGTGATATTTCAGCAGTTACCAATGAGTGTAGAGTGCTGGTCTCTCATTTTCTTACTCATGATTCCTTTTCAGGAGGAGGAATGCATTATGTATTCCTGTAGTTGTGCTTTTAGAAGGATTTTTCCCTGTTTGTCTTTAAGATGTGTTAGTACACAGCTGACCTTGGACAAGAATTTTAAGGCAGCATTAGTGTTCGGTAGTCTTGGAGCAACATAACTGAATTCTGCATAAGGTACCTTAATTCCATTTCAACTTTTAATCTTCTCTCTGCAAGTTTTGCCGGTAAGCATGCTAACCTGTGGCGATGTCGCGTGTTACCATAATTTCTTAAAGGAGGACTAGTGAGCTGATGGGTTTTTCTTCCTTTGAGTTGGTATACCTTAAATGATATGTTAAAACCTGTTTCTTAAACATTCCAAGTTTTTGTTTCACAACTTGCATTATACTTCCTAGCTTGGTGATTCTTTGATCTAATACATCAGTAAGGATAAATACTTTTTGTAGGAGTTAATAGAAACTTTTAAATGGTGCTGCTGAGTAAGCTTTGGGAAGGCAATGGCTTGAAATGCCTGAGAAGGTCCAGAGAGATGGGGGTTTTTTCTCCCCCCTGCCTCTTTTTGTTTTGGTGGTTTGGTTTTTTTTTCTGTTACCACACATTCTGTATAACCTTGGGCAATCTGTTCATCCTTTTGCTGTGCGTTCTCCTGCTTGTGGAAGTGAAATAATTATCTAGATTTCTTGAGATTGGGTAGTATGGCTTTTTAAACAGCAGTGACATCAAAAAATGTACTTAGGTTTTGGGTGAAGCCTTTGGTTTAGGTCTTCTGTTTGTTAAAAATACATTGCCTGCTATATAAATCCTGGTACGTGTTATTTACATGTTAAAATATGTTGGCTCTAGGAGGGTTATTTTCCTTGTTTTGATAACTGTTTTTGGAGGAATTTTAGATTTTCTTTATGGTCTTGCTTCAGTTTCTTTGCTAAAGAAGCGGCAGATTAACAGATTTTGAAAATCATTATTGAGGTGGACGTTTGTAGATGAATGAGCCATATGTACAATTACCCACATTTGTTTCAGTTCTGTTAATTAGAACACTAAGTGGCAAGTAAATCACCATAAAGTTCAAAAGACATTCTGATTTCTTTTCTGAAGTCTTGCAGATGCTCTCTTCTATTGAAGTTGCTGAGCTTTAATGCAAGTATCTTTTTGTTGTGAGACTACCCCTCAAGCACACCCATCTTTTATTGCCATCTGGTGGCAAAAACAATCCTCTAACAGAAAATGAAAAATTTATAAAAAAAATTTAGATTGGTGATTTCAGCTAACACAAATGATCTCAGAGACTTCATCAACAGGAAGGCATTTGGAAGTCTTCAAGGACAAAAAACTAGAAAGGTGCCACAGTGCCAATAGTAAGGGGGAGATTGGGCACTCTGCAGGGAGGAAAGGAAGACAGTGGCTGCCATTTTCTGGATCCCACTGTCTGGCAGATACTCATTCAGATGATGAACAGGGATGCTGTAGAGACCAGTAAAGATGTGGAAGGTGTGTACCCCAAAAGTTAAAAAGTGACATCACCATGGGGAATAGGTGGTAGTGACTGCTGACCCCTTCCTGAGACAGAGAAGGACTCATCACCCAAACAGGATTGATAAGCTGGAAGAGGGATAGCCGTGCTGCTCTGAAACCTGACTTTAAGGGGTTAGTGTAAGGTTGCAGAGACTGCAAATCTTCCTTGCAGTCTGGGTGTGTGTACTAATACCAGTGCCTGGAGTAACCTCAGCTGATCGGCAGTGAGTGCTGAGGTCTGGCAGCATGGGTTTGAGGGCTCAGCCAGTTCTACTGTCAGCACCCTCAAACGGGGTATAGGCTTCAGCTCATGTTGGAACAAATGAATCGTACCCACGAATACTTGGTTTTACAAGTGGTTTTGCCTGGAAGGTTTTCCTTCCTTGATGCTCAGTGACATCAGAAAAGATGGAATCCCCTCACTGAAAGACTGGAAAATGGCTCTATATTTGCCATCTTCAAAAAGATAATAAAAGCAACAGAAAAATCAGTCAAAGTTCACTTTTAGGAAAAAAATCCATAATTAGTTATTAACTAACAATCTGAAAGGTACTTGAGATGAATAGCAGCCAACACAAATTCATCTAGGGAAAAAATCTTGTCATATCAGTCTAATTTATTTTTTTATTACGGGGTAGCAGGCTGGTAAATAAAGGTGTGGTATGTCTCTTGGTTACGTTATCTTGGGGGTGGTTTTTTTATATATAATAAACAATCTCAGGAACCATGGTCTAGAAAGGACTGCTATAAGATAGATGCACAGTTGCTTACAAAGTGGAAAGGATACCCCTCCAGGTCATGTTTAGTATTTTGTATTACTGATAGGATGACAGAACAGAGCATGTTTATTAAGTTTGTATTTGACAAATACAAATGAGACTGTGAAATATACTGGACGGCAGAATTGGAATCCAAACTGCTTGCAGAGGAAGAGAAATGCCCCAATTCAACTGGGATGAGGGCTGTTTCTGTACTGTTATTGTACTGCTAGAACATGATGAGATAGCTGGTTTTCAGATGTGGATCGAGGATGTTTTAAAAAAAAAAAAAATTTCTCGTGTATTTCTAAGGACTGTTCCATGTCTTGTCACATGGTGTACCTAGCTCAGCTCTCTTGAGCTTAGAGACAGAATTATGAAAGATCTCAAGTGTTCATGTAATTTAAATGGTTTGAAAATAACAATATGTATTGTTAATAACAATACAGCATTGTGCTAGGTTAAATTGTAAAAGCATAGGGAGAAATAACTCATAGGAAAAATAAGGACCATTTTCAAAAATGTTATCCCATAACACTTGTTTGTATGATTTGTCTAATTTAATCAAAATAGAAGAGATAAATAATCACTTATGACACTTGCAGTTGGATGCACTGAAGAGAACTATGCTATGATAGCTTTTTCATTCTGCATTACCCAAGGTGCTTTGACTGAGTCTGGGGAAAAAAGTATTTTACTTGCAAAAACAATGTCTTAATTTTTAATCTAATTGTTCTTTCTTTTAATGTAACTTCAGTTTTATACAGAAAATACATGTCTGAAAACCAGACATTAGGCAGGATCACTTTTTTTGGTCTGTCGTCTTGTCTAGTCCCACAAAAATGTAAATAAAATGCTGTCCTAGTATTGTTCTGTGTATGAAAGCTGAAAACTGAAGATTGCATTAAAGCATGTGCTTGTCCAGTCTGGCTAAAGGCATCATTGCCAAGGACAGGCTGAGGGCTGAAAGAAGCAACACAAAGCCTTGCTTGTTGATTTGAATTTTTATTCTGTAGGTTGTGTGTGACACCCCAGGTTATGAACCGTTGTAAAGTCTGTTCCTTCAGAACTAGTGGGATCACAGATGTCACTGGGAGGAATGAGCTATTGATAAATATTAACACAGCTAAAAAGCAGTAAACATTTTAATTTTAATTGCCTTGAAGGCATTTCAGATAGGAACACTTTCTGTTACTGAGCATTAAGTGGAACAAAGATAAAAGCTTCCTGGACTATCAGCTGAGTCAGTCAACTGATTGCAATTAGGTACCAAGTATTAATTATTGAATTTAGAAGTACTTTTCTGAGAAAATCTGATGAACCACTGGGAAAAAAAATAAAGTAACTAAGAACAACATTTTATTTTATGCCAGGAGCAGTGCATGAAGAACTGGGATGAAATAAGAACCAATTGTCAGTTCTTTTTTTCAGTAGGTAGCTATTTTCCAACTTTGAGATGACAAATTTTACAAATGTGAATCCTCAAATGTGCTAGAGCAGCTATTTTATTTTGTGCACCTTATTATCTTTGACTTTGAAATATTCGAATATTCCTTGTTTTTGTGGTTTTTCTTAATAAACAGTTGACAATGAAACATACAAAACCCCCATTCATTGTCATTTTGCTAATGTTAGAGCTAAACAGGAATGTAAGATATTCTGGAATTCTTAAGCTGTCAAAAGTGAAATGGAGGTTTTTGTTAGGTGTTCTCTTATTTTTAAAGTAAGAGATGTATTATTTTTGTCTTAACAAGGGTGGGTTTCCCTGTCCCTCACACTTTGAATCTGGAGAGATTATGGTATTGTAGGACAGAAAGGTTGGTGTGTGTTGTTTTCCTTTCCCCTCTCTCCTTTTTTTGGCTCTCAGTTTGCTTTAACTATTGTTATGGTTTCATGTGTGGCTTTGACTATTTTTTTATTTTTTTAATTTTTTTTTAGCGGCTCTGTCAATAATAGTAATAAAGTGACTTTTGGGAAACAGACTTCAGTACTGATACCTAAGGCCCTCTATTAATCTATATTCTTGGATCAGGTTTCCTGAGCTGGTCTTCCTTCTTTGAGTACCAAGCAAGCTCTTTGCCCTGATGTTTGAGGGCTTTTTACCAAGAAACATTTTCTACAGAAGAAACACCTAAATGGACCTTTGAGATCAGGCCTTGATTGGGGGATGAAAGGAACATACACGACTCTGTCCAGCCTTTTCCAGTCCTACTGCTTAGACCTTGTGGGGACAGGATGTGAGCTTCTACCTGTGACTACCATTTATGTCGTTATTTCTGATTACAACCTTGCTATGTGAGAGAAACTTTTGTGTTCTGTTTTGCCCTATTTGAAGGAACAAACTCCAGTTTTAAAATCCTGAGATGTGCTTTTGGTTATGTACTTCTAGGGCAGGAAATTCAGAAGAATACAATAATTAGTATCAGTATTTGGATTCAAGAGTTGGAACAGGGACCTAGTGTCAAGTTCAAGTCTAACAAATTAGACTGTATCTATCCCTGATTCCTGGTTGATGCCCTTTACAGGTAAGAGGGCAAGGTGTATGATATTGAAGACTTAGGAAATCATTCTGTTCTCCCACTTCAGCAAAATCACAGCTGTATCTAGAAAAGCTTTTACAAACGACTTACGGATGGTTTGGATTTAGACTACAGGAAGTCTTTAGGAAATGTGTTTAAAAACATTGCAGTGTTTTTTAGTGATCTTATTTTCATGATGAACTTGTAAAAATGTACAGAACTCCTTTGTTAAAATCATGTGTTACATGGGCTGTTAGATTTTGAAAACAAATGCTAATAATTTTTCATGATACAGAACTTGAATTACTTTTCTTCAATTTATTGAATTATTACAGGCAAATATAATCAGATGAAAACTCAGAATCTGATTCACAATCTGTTCCTTATTCTATTAATGTAAATGGTATCTATTTGAATCTTTCTTTGTTCCGGAAGATGACACGCTAAAGATAAAAGCAGTAAATCATATCCAGTCAATTTGACTTTTTAACTAACCCTTTCTTGTTGCAGGCTGGTTTTCATCTGTGCAATCGTATCTATAGCATGTGCTCATATGTAATGCTTTCCCGATATCCACAATGACATCCTTTTGTGCATACGTGTCTGAACAATACTAGGGGCTTGAAAGTGGGTGTCCAAGTCTAAAAGCCTGTGAAATACAGAGGTGCTATTGACGTTTTTCACAGAGTATGCTGAATTTCTACACTGCAAGGGAAGGAAATTTACTGATTTTGATGAAGTTCGTCAGGAAATTGAAGTAGAAACAGATAGAATAACAGGAGTGAACAAAGGCATTTCTTCAATTCCTATTAATTTAAGAATATATTCTCCACATGGTAGGTAAAATTATTCTACTTTATATTTCTGTCATGTAATGTATTTTTTAGCTCTGTCTAGCTATCTCCTTTTGTATGTGTTCTTGTTGCTCGATCAGAAATCTTCTGGGACAAAAAAAACTTCTGAGATTGAGTCAAACCAAAAGTGAATATATATCTGGAAGAATCCTCAACTTGTCCTGTGTTACAAAACCACTCTACAGTGGAGAGTTCTTGCCACTAGAGCTGGGCAGAACAGAGACTCTCTGTCCCATTTAATATTCTCAGGATTTAAAAATATTCTCACTCTGCCGCAGGATGAAACCAATCTCTCCCTTGGTACAGATACCCGTAGTTAGTCGCTCACTAGAAAAGACAAATAATAGGAGATGGGAGACTGAGTGGCAAAACTTCTTTTTGTCACCCTCCAGATGGGTTCCCTGATCAGTGATCTGGGAAGTCATTATGTCTCCCTGCCCTATTGGATGTTTATTGTTTGCTGTCACTAAAAATATATTTAGATAATAATGGCGTTTCAAGCTGCTTTCTGTTGTAGAACCCCAGTGTAGATCAAAGTTAGTTCCTCTGGTTGCCATCTGCCCAATTTAATGAAGGCAATCTAGAGAAAATGTTTTGCATTGAGTCTGTCTTGGATACAGGAGAAAAGTGATATGTTTGACTGAAGCACTCTGTTTTTCTAACCACCCCATCTGATGTCTTCATTGCAAATCAAAGGACAGAAATATTAAAATAAGAGGAGAGGTAATTCAAGAGATGCTGAACCTCCCTTTGATACACCTTGAGCAGCCTTGGCTCTAAAAGTACGCCCCTGAGCCCTTCTCCGCTCTACAGATGTGGTATAGCCAACTGGAGAGGAGCTGAACTAAATGCCCAGTGTCAAAGCTTGTTTGCTGAATGTGCTGACTCCAGGAGAAAGTGAAAATTTCCTACCTGATGCTCTTCCTTTGTTTTATTAGGATCAGTCTTTTAGTTCAGCAACTGTTGTCTGTGTTAGCCAGACCCCAAATATACTTCTGGTGTTTTCTTTCTAGGAATTGCATTTTTCTCATTTGTCTAAAGGATACCTTGTTAGCCCAGTACTGGCTGAGCAGGCTGGGATGCTTCTAGTTGGCATTGTGGCCTGATTTCCATTGAGGAAATCACGCTGCAGCAAAACAATTTTTATTAATGGATAATATTTTTCATGTTTCTTACTTTTCTTAAGAAGTTAGAGTTAAAAAACCCCCAAAACCCAAACCAACAACATACTCCAAAACCCGTTAAGAACAATTTTGCTATATAAGCTGGCTACCCATTGTTTTTTTTGGGAATTTCTCAATTGGAGACACTGTTGAAAGCATGGTCAGAGAAGGAGATTTTTTTTTTTTTTTTTTTTTTTTTAAGAAAAGCCTGGTTTGTGTTGATTTGAGAGATGCAATGGGAATGGTCTGTTGTCTCTGCTCCTGTTTGGTGGAAAAAACTCAGAAAGCCATGTTCATTTGTCTGAGAGCATTCAAGGATATTCAGTATAAGTGTCATTCTCCTATGCCAGATGTAATGTTAAAAATATGAAATAGTACTAATAAATCCAGAGATGAAAGGCCAAGAGGGAAACAAGTGTACTTTTCAGATTGTCAGGCATTTTGTTTGAACCATTGACACTATTTATATACCTATAAAGATAATTTTGTGGGGTTTGATGTGACTAAAACTTGTCTGCAGCCATAGATGTGTAGACCTCTTTAGACACGTCTGGCATGCTAACCAGTTTTATGATCCTGTGTTTTCTGTATAGTATTAAGCCTGACTCTTATTGATTTGCCTGGAATCACTAAAGTGCCAGTAGGGGATCAGCCTCCAGATATTGAGCAACAGATCAGAGACATGATAATGCAGTTCATCTCTCGAGAAAACTGTCTGATACTGGCTGTGACTCCAGCTAACACTGACCTGGCCAACTCAGATGCACTGAAGTTAGCTAAGGAAGTGGACCCTCAAGGTAAGCGTGACTGAACATAACCACATTTGTTCTCAAGTGTAATGACAGAATCGGGAGTAATAGACCAACTCTTGTGTGAAATATATATACAGATCTATATTATAAATTATACATTCTCATATAGGCTTCACCATCACAATAACTGTTTGTTAGCTCAGTATCATTCAGGTAATGATGCTGTAAATGTATTTTTAAAATTTTGTCACTATCTCTTATAAGAAAGTGGGGCAATGCCAATCTAGAAATTTTTGTAGTACCTGGCAAAAGGGACCCGTAGTACTGATGGGATTTCTGGATACTTGCATCATTAATTTTATACAGTCTTATCATAGGAATACTAACCCTTGTTAAAGAGATTTGAAGAACACATTTCAGCACTGGCAATGAGGATCCCTTCTTTTCCAGACATACTGTAACTTCCAGGTGTAGCTGGTGTTGTGTGATACAAGCTTTGAAAACACGACATATCTGTTGTTATGTATTTGTAAGATATAATTGTTCTTCCCGAATATAAATGATTCGTCACTATCTTCTTCCTCCTGCTTCCACGCTGGTCAGGCCTTAGGACCATCGGTGTGATCACAAAATTGGATCTGATGGATGAAGGAACAGATGCGAGAGAGATACTAGAAAACAAACTGCTCCCTCTTCGTAGAGGTGAGAATGTTCAGTTACTTATGTTCTTTACAATTCAGAAGATGGTCTGGATAAGGGTGGTGTTTGGGAGTTCTGGAGGTAAATCAAAGGTTGTGCTGGACTTGATGAATTTCTAGCTCTTATCATTATCTATTGAGCAAACATAAAAGGTGACTGTGCTAAAAATGTCCTGCAAGTAAAATAATTTTTTTACTGGACCTGGCAAATACACTGCGTTTTCCAGAGGAAGCAAGAAATGTCAGCACAAGTTGTTAGCCAATTTTCTTTTCTGTACGGGGTTGTTGTTGCTTGTAACAAAAGAATTTTTTTTTCTTTGCATATGACAGAAGCAAGCACTGGAGCTTTGGTAATCTCACTGTAAACCAAGTTTTGACCCCTTCCAGAAATTTTCTGTGTGATTGTTCTGGCAGCTACTGCCACAGTTGTTCATACTGTTAACAATATACAGAATTTTGATTCTAGTTAAAATTACTGATGAGACCACCATCTCCTCCCACGAAACATGTAGGTACAGCAAATGAGCAGAAATTTTTCCTGTATTTTGCTAATATAATATCATTTATCTATGTAGGCCTCTATGTGTTTTGATTTTGTTTTGAGATCTGGTTTGTTTGTTTTTGAAGTGGCTTCTTTGGGATACACTGAAGTTTCAGATATTTCTGAAAGTACTTTAAAAGGAAGTATATCTGTTAAACAGCGTGAACAATTCAGACACTATTAATGTCATTACAGTACTTATAAACCATATCTGAAATGGCTAAATTGGAAAGTTTTGTTTGGACTGAGGCAGTTTAGTTCTATTTAATATGAACTCAGTAGTTCAGGCAATAGCTGCATTGACTTTACCTGCTGGTTTTGTGTTGGTTTAGGTTATATTGGTGTTGTCAACAGGAGCCAGAAAGACATTGATGGGAAGAAGGACATAAAGGCAGCTCTCCTAGCAGAAAGGAAATTCTTTCTTTCCCACCCAGCATATAGGCACATGGCAGATCGGATGGGAACGCCGTATCTCCAAAAAGTTCTAAACCAGGTAAAACCTGAAGCCGTTGTGGTGAAATTTTGTAATGATAGGACCAATATAAAATCTCCATTAAAATGGATATTGGTCACTGAACCTCGCTTACGCTTTCCTGTTTTTAACCTGCTAAATTTTCATGAGGTAACGAACGAAGCTGTATATTACATGTAACGTATGAAAACTTACTGTGAGATGTAGCTTCTGACTTTCACTGACAGTTCTGCACTGCCTTGTTCTCTTGAATACTGAATATGAACATAAAAAACAAGATTTGTCTCCCTTCCTGGAAGTATACCATCCTGTTCCTTAATTATCACATTTCTTCTAGTTTAACAGGATTTTTAGAATTCAAATCTAGAAAGTAGGAAAAAAAACCCCAACAAAACAACATTTTAAGAAATCATGTATCCTGAGGGTTCACTGTATGTCTGTACTTTAACCTCAAAATCTACGGTTTATTGTAGTTTTTAATAGAAACTGTGCACGGTATACTAATGATATAAATGGCAAATATAGTAATCGGAACACTTTGTTCACATTACCTTTATTTTTGCCCAAGCCTTTGGTTTATTTCTATGACTCCATGCCAAACCATGTCAGATCACAGCTTCCTTCAGCAGGAAATAGAAGTCTATTTCCTAGTTACCTGGAGGAGAAACCCTTAACTTACTGTCCTAATGAAGACACTACCTACAGCAGATTTGGAGGAGTATATTATCTTCACCGCTTTGCATCTTTGGGTATCACTGTTTTCATAGTGCCATACCTTAACTTGAACAGCATGTGACCCTAATGATGATGCATCTCAGCAAGTTTGAAGAGGACAAGATCAAGTCATCCCTGCCTCTAGTTTTAGAATTACTGGTGACGCTATGATTGATTATTTATTTAAACTTAGTTTATCAGTTGACCAGTGTTCTTGGCATTCCTACAAGTCAAACTTGGTAGTGTTTTTTCCAGTTCACTGTCAAATTGCAGCCTTTGGTCTGGAATAGATAAAGACCAGGTTAGCCTGGCTTTATCCATTTTGGACAACAACTGGAAACAGCAAAGTTATTGATTAAGGTAGGAAACTAAGTGGCTGGCCTGCTTAATTTCTTGCTACAGTGACTTTGCAGCTGTAACTTGACAGCCAGGTTATGGCATGCTCTGGACTCACTCAAAAAGAATGCTAATGCCATTTATTTGTGCCTTGGAATGAAAGTCTT